TTGAAAAAATAAGGTGAACTTTCATTTTTCTCAAAACATATTTATGTATTCATCAATTTCTATTTCTCCCCCTCCAAGTATGTCCCCCTCAGGAAAAAGTGGCAGGGGGCCATATCTTGTGAATACGGTGGCTAAGGTATGATCATGATGTTGTTTGCGTCAAAAGAAATACGAACTAGAAATGACGAGTCAGCAGTTGCAATATCGAGATGCAAAATCCATTAATTGTTTTTCCACAATGCCGGACGTTTTCATTGTATTGCTTCTCACAAGCGGCTCAGGTTCAACTTCAAGATGATATTCCTCATTGACCATATGATCATATAGTCTAATCAACAAGTTCAAAAACATGAAAAATAGAGATAAAGGTTCTAAAAATATGAACGATAGCTCATTTGATTCGAAATCACCTCTAGATGTTTTTGAACGATTTTGGTGCAGGTAAAAAATTGCAATTGTTATTAACAAGATAAGATTTAAAAAAAATGATATTTAGTGTTTCATTAATAACTCAAAAAATATTAATATTTGAGCAATTTTGAAAAAAGCTCGCTAAAGAGGAAGAAATTTCCGATAAACAAGTCCCGACTCCCGAAACTATCTCCATTATTTATAATTTTAATTTGACGTTAAAAATAGGGTACCGCGTGGCTGTTACGGCATGCGCGCGCTGCCGCTAAAGAGAGTTTATCAAAAGAAATAATTTTTTTATAACTCAGAATGTCATTTTAAAATTTGAAAAAAATCTAGTATCTTCTTAACACTTGAATGAATGGAGTCCCGTAGAAAAAAAGTTTCATCACCATTTTTGAAAAAGTTATTCGATTGTTAACGCAAAAGTTTGTTTCGCCATTAGTTTTGAACGTTTCTTTGGGAGCGCTATAAAAGTTCAATTATTTTTCGTTTGGTTGTATTCATCTGCCTTTGTTGTGAAAATATGGAGGGCAAAAAAGTACTGAAGGAGTATTGTATGATGAGAACGTAGGTATACTTTTTTCACCCGAAATGCACCAAACGAATTGTTTTTAACTGTTACCAAAAACAAAAAACTTAAAAAAGTCTGCGAAGAAAGTAGTTCGTTGAATGTCTCTCCGAATGTTCTGTTTGCTATGTAATAGTTTTGTATTATATTTAAAGGGTTTTGTAATCACAGAAAGCTCATATTTCAGCGAGGTATGATTTTGACGTTAGTAACAATTAGTGATATTCAATTTAGTAAACAAACATTCGTTCGATTTTAATTCAACCAATTCAGGAATTGATGATTAAAAAACGGATTACGAAAACATATTATTTATTTCATTATAGTACAGCTGACTCAAATCCTATCATTCAAACCAATAATTGCGAATTCAATTCAGTGCACCATTTATATAATATACGATATTTTTATATCATACCACCGTAATGAAAATTATGTATTTCGAAATCGTTAATGGTGGAATATAATTTGAAACAATTTCTTTGCAGAACTACAATGAATGTGTCAGTCAACTTGCAAATGAATATTTGTGTAAATGAACTATGATTTGAAGATCATAGGTAGGTCTACTTCTATAGACTTCTGGTTACACAAGGGCAAAAGTTCATGGGCTTATTTCGTCCAAAAGGTGATGATAGAGCTCCGTTGCAATTGATAATATCTATTGTTTATCTTGTATTCATCAGAAGAAATATTTTGAAGCAAATTGTGTTGGGACTGAATGGATCCTACTATACACGTTAGGTATCACACGTTAAAAGGAAAGACCTCGTTAATCCTTAGCTCGCACAAGTTTCGACTTCTGAGGGTTGTCGTTCGTAGGGGTGCGACAGCTGGTTAACGGAAAAACAGATTTTTTTTAAACAGATATTTTTGAAGCAGAATGTAGTTTTTTTTAACTTTTTGAAGAATGAAATAGAGGTTGAAGTGAATTGGAAACTATGGTACTTGGTGTGATAACTGATTCAGTGTAGATATTTTCTGGTGTTCCTGCGAATGATAATAACATAGATAACAATCATAATGAAGATCAAAAAAAAATTCGAAATATTCATCTCTCCCAACTACCTACACACATAAATGTCTGTCGAAGATAATTCAATATCCAGCGTGGTATTAACCAAAAAAGTAGTTGTTTTCCGGCAGGCATTCACCAGAACCTTCTGTGTAGGTTATTGGGAGAGATGAATATTCAGAGATTTGATTACGAAATATTTGTTTTATTATTCATAATGAAGTTAATGGAATTGATGATAACGATGAAGAAGAGTAGAAAAGCATCTGAAGTTCATGAAACTATCAGAAAGTCAAAACACTCGAAAACTAACCGTAAATTACCAACAAAAGGAGTCTGATGTGATATCAGTCGAAGTATCAAAGATTCAATAGGGAACATTTATGGAAAACAGATATTTTGGTTGTCCTGTTTGAATCATGCAAAGGTTTTATATAATTGGCCTCAGTAGTTCACTGCGAAAGCGTTTCTGAAATAAACATTTTACAAATCTGGTTAGAAAGGGAAAAAGTTGAAAAAAAATAACAAGGTACGGATGTACCAGCTCTATCTCATTTCTGAAAGACACTGTTTGCCAAGCTCTTGCTAATAATCAATTGGAAATCAAAGAACTTGTATGATAAAATATTAACTCTGATTTACTTGCGATAAAAACGACAGATAACGATAAATCATTACATGAAATCATTTAACAGAGTGAGTACCTTCTGAATCTAGAGTCACTTGTATTTATTCTAAGGAGAGAGGTCAAGTGAAAAATCATTGTACCAAAAACATAAATTGACTTGTGAAGAGTTATAACTGCTGAGGAAGAAAATAATTAAGTTGAAAATTTACGGGCCCATCTTTAGAACATATATCGTTTAACAATGCTGATGCTATTCAGAAATTCATTAGACGAGACAAAATCACCATGTTCACTATTTCAGTTTCAATAAACGAAACAGTAGTGATATTCAATCTTCTCAAAAGTTCGATTCATCAATCTTCTATGGTTTTGGAGAAAGCAGTGCTGTAAGTAAACAACTTAGTGAAATCTTGGTGAATAAATATCGACGAAATCCAAGAAGAGGTAGAAGCTCTTTAGTCTGGATTAATTTTCTTCAGGTAGGAAATTTTTCCCTTACCCTTTCAACTGTCTTTCGTCAGGAGGACGAGTAGTTCATAACTGAAGGTGTTTTTTTGGTAACGACATAAAGATCAATGACTTCTATGCCGCCCTGGCCTTGTGTACCCCTTCCTAACTGGAGTATTTGATGAGCAAACTGTTCACTCCAACAGATGTCATGGGGCCTTCACTCAATATTGAGTGAAGGCCCGATGGGGCCCGATGGGGCCTTCTGAATCGAGTGAAGTCGTCTATAGTGTAATCTACAGCTTCCCTAACTAATGGATTATCATGAGCTTCCGCTGACTCGAAAACTCTCTGATTCCTCGACTGAATGGACTGCCGTATAGTTAACATCTTCAAATCTCTGCAGATGGTTCCATTTCACACGAACCATGGAGCATTCACCAGCATCCTGATTAGTTTGTTTTGTAACCTTTTCAAAATGGAGAGGTTTGACAGAGCGGTTTGTCCCCAAGCGCCTGAAGCATACATAATGACAGGCTTGAACATCGTATTGTATAATAAAATCTTATTTTTGAGATTGAGCTTGGAATTTCTGTTGATCAGAGGATAGAGTTTGACTATCCTCATTTGTACTTTGCTCTTGAGGTGAGTCGGTGGTCTCCCAAAGACCTAGGTATTTGACTCGCGTCTGCCATTCGATTTTCCTGTCTGAAATCGTGACTCTTATGTCTGGAGAAACGTTACGTCTCCCCAAATCTATCGCCTGAGTTTTTTCTGGATTCACCCGAATCTTCTATTCCAGGTACCAGCCTTCGAGGTCGTCCAATGCGCGTTGCATGTAGACGACCGCCAACCCTCGACCCATGGAAGAAGCAAAGAGACCCGTATCATCGGCGTAAAGAGAAACCTTCACGTGATCGAACCTCGGAAGGTCGCTCACGTGAAGGCTGTACAATAGTATAGACAGCACAGCTCCTTGAGGCACTCCAGCTTGGATTTTCCTGACGGGAGACAGGGTTCCTTCAACTCGGACCTGAAATGTTCTGCCTTTCAGAAAGGACCTAATCCACCGGATCAGGCCCCGAAGCAGGTCGAAAACGAGCATTTTGTGTAGTAGACCTTCATGCCATACTCTGTCAAAGGCTTTCGAAATGTACAGGAGGACGAGATGGACTGTCTTCCTATTTTTTAGCTCTGAGATGGAATTTTCGACCAGGGCCTGCAACTCGGTGGAGTGTTGGAACTTCACCGCAAATTATGATCCAAGGCTCATTCGATTCGGGAAGACCTCAAACAACTTTTTGAAAAATTTCAAAAGGGGGTCGACAAAATTGAAACGAAATTTCATAGTAAAATTGTTTCCCGTGATTATCAGATATATCTTAGTTAATCAACTGATTTTTACAAGTTTTAAATTTACATAAAAACCCTGATAATTTTTAAACTGAAAACCTCAAATTTTGTTCATTTTTTGGTGCTTTCCTTGAAAGCTATCACAAAAGATTCCCGTTGGAAAAAGTAAAACATTTTGATTTTCCACTTTGTTATTAATAATCAAAGACGTTAAAAAGTGAAAAATTCAATTGAAGCAATGAAAAAAAATTTTCAATATTTTTCTTTTTTTACACAAGCGTGACACATGGCTGTTCTCTTAATAATTATTTTGTTTGAAACAAATTGTTTAATAAATAAATGAAAAATATATAATTGAAAGAAATGTTCAGAATATCAAAGAGAAATACAAATTTTGATTAAAAAAAATCATACATATTGAAGGTGAAGATAGCTGTAGTGTCACAGCAATATAGAGTCCCTAACGGCACTCCACGAAATTTGAAAATTGAGTTACTTTCATGATGTCTCATTAGATTGCACATATACGAGTTCCAGATACGATTCAGATTCTAACAGAAATCTCATAAACTCACCTGCAAATTAGGGGGACAATGGTCGAGAAGTTCTAACATATGACGTATATTTTGTGCATCTTGGATGACGAAATTCAGTTCCATATCAAATTCGCCGCCAACCAACTGTAACAAAATTAATTAAAATTATCAACCAAATGTCAATGAAATACAGAATAATATATAAAAGTAACATATAATGACCGCCGAATTGAAGTTAGAGAGATAGCAGAGGTTATGAATATGTCAAAAAAACATGTTTGTCATATTTCAAATCAACATTCAGGCATGAAAGAGCTGTCCACTCGTTGGTGCCGCGTTTGCTCACATTAAACAAAAAACGTGTTCGAATGAACATTTCAAAAGCTCTGTTGGCGCAGTTTAGGCGCGACGAATCCGACTTTTGGCACCAAATAATTGCTGTAGATGACACTTGGATACAATATACGACCGAAACAGAAACACAGTCCAAACAGTGGACTGCAAAGGAGGAAATGGATCCAAAAAAGCAAAAACTGTTTTTTCGCCTAAGAAAGTGATGGCAACTGTCTTTTGGGATAGTCATGGAGTTATTTTTATCGATTACCTTGAAAAAGGAAAAACCAACACAGGAGCATACTACGCATTATTACTTTAGAAGCTGAAAAACCGGCCATTTTTACAGAAAAAAAAATCTTGTTTCACCGTCTCTGCCTGAGACGGTGAGTGAGTGGCTCATCGGCGTCCAACCACTGTTCTGAACGTCTTCCGTTGTCGTACGGGATCAACTTTTTATCACACGTGATGATCCGATCCAGAAAAGTATTGTATAGTTGCGCAGAAGCAAAGAAGAACAGACCTCTGAACGTGACAATATCTGTCAATCGTTCCAATCGTGAGACACCCACTTCTCGAGCCTTTTGATCTCTCCAATACGTTTCAAACCATCAAAAATCGCATGGTAGCTGACGCCCAGTTCTTCCGCCATGATGAGTCAGTATCCACCAGGGTCGTTAAATTCTCATCCTGGATTACAGTAGGTCGACCACTTTGGAGCTCATCTGCGAGGCTAAAATCTCTGGAACGAAACAATGCGTTCATTAACACTATCATTGCCAAATATCTGGTTGATTTTTCGGGCTGTTTCGGCAGCCCGGTTGACTTTTATATTTCGGAATTAGAGAACAAAAACAAATATTAAACATCAAAAATTCCTTTATTGTTTTTCAAAATATTCCCCATGAAGACCTATACACTTTTGCATGCATTTGAATCATCAATTGTCGAAGCACTTTTGCCACTCTGATTGAGGTATCTCCAAAACATGCATTTTGAATGCAGCAACCGCTTCTTCAGGTGTCGAAAAACGTTGACCTCTGAGTTTATTTTTTACGTGCGGGAATAAAAAGAAGTCATTCGGTGCCAAGTCAGGACTATACGGCGGATGACTCATCAGATCGATTGGGTGCTCAAAAATGCAGTTGTTTGAGCCGATGTGTGAGAGCTCGCATTGTCGTAGTGAAGAGTGATCCGTCTTCGGCGGTTGGTTTTCCTGATTTCTTGGAAGACAACTGGCAAACAAATGGTTGTGTACCACTCAGAATTGACTGTTCTGCGTTGTTCTAGTGGTACGGTCGCGACATGTCCAGTTTTTCTGAAAAAGCAGGAAACCATTTGCTTGGAAGTGCTTCGTGTTCGAACAACTTCTGTTGGATTTGGCTTATTTTGAAATACCCATACAGTCGACTGCTGTTTACTTTCAGTCTCATACGCGTAAATCCACGATTCATCACCTGTCACGATGTCATAGACGTGTTTCGAAGTACCGCGATCGTATTTTTTGAGCATTTACTTCGACCAATCGATACGAACCTTTTTTTTTGAGCGATTGACAAGTTGTATGGTATCCAACGCGAACAAATGTTTTCGAAAGTCAATTTTCTATGCAATATTGAATATATGCCGGTCCCACTAATGCCTAAGGTTGTCTCAATCTCACGATAGGTCACATGACGATCTTGCAATATCAGCTCGCGCACAGCATCAATGGTTTTCGCAACAACAATTGATTTTGGACGACCTTCACGAAATTCGTCTTGGAGTGAACTATGACTATGATTGAATTCACCATACCATCGTTAAACACTGGTCCTTGATGGAGCTTCATCGCCAAAAATTGAATTAAGTTCATCCATGCACTGTTGCTGAGTTAATCCACGTCGAAAGTTGTAAAAACTAATCGCAAGTAAATGTTCACGATTTAATTCCATTTTTGGGCCGAGATGAATATTTTAAGTTATTGTAAACAACACAAATACCGCGCGTATGTCAAAACGTTATTTATGAGTACGTATTAGCTCAAAAATGTCCAACTTTACGATACAGCTGTCAGTTGCCAGATTGTAACACTAGGGTTGCCAAATCCCAAAACATAAAAGACAAACTATTGTGTTGTCCTACAATTTAGTTTAAGCTTATTAGATAGAAACCACTGATTTGCACTATTAGATACCTCGTACCAATAGCTGAGACAAAATATTTAAATTTGAAAAAAATTAACAGCGTCAATGTATAGAGTACAAGATTCTTTTTCGATCACTATATACTACGACACAGTAAATATTCATTAAGATATGAAGCTACAAAAACACGTGGCAACCTAATATTATTCTTATTTCTCAACGTTGGAACGTTGTTTTCTTCCATCCGTAATTGACGTGGAAAATAAATTCTCCTGATTGTGGATCTATTGTTCACGTAAAACCATTCGATATATTCTCTGACAACAAAGCCGCTACGACTATTATTGTTTCTCCGCTGGAGTAGCACTAAGCCTGATTTAGTTGGCTGTCGGATATTCAAGACTTCTGTTGAATCTACTTGTGTTTCCATTACGAGAATATTAATGAAACCAGTTTAAAGTCGCACTCGCATTTACCATTCATAATTTGAAACAGAATAAATGGTTTCGGCTTTTCTGGGTGGAGCGCATCCGACACATCTACACTTCCATGACTCTGGCGCACAAATCATGCTGAATTTGACCGGTAGCAACGGTTATGTTGGCTTTGAGGTTTGTAGCTGTGGTTTGTAGCTCAATCGCATATGTGTGTCTTGAAAAATTATCACAAGAAAAAGTCTAACGGGTTGAAATCGCGCGACCTCGGAGGCCAGTTTACATCACCTCCAAGTGGGATGACCATGTCCTTAAAGTTGGTAATCATAATGCCCGTTATTCTCGGCGAAATATGGACCGATTACGTCGCCAGCCCAAAATTCACAGCAAACAGTGACTTTTTCAAGATGCATTGGATGCTCTTGTTTCATCACGTACCCATTAATCCGAAATGGGCCTCATCGCTGAAGATGAGGCCCATTTCGGGTCGATTTTTGATAAAAATAAGGGTCAGTTGACGTAGAGCCCATTCAGCAAATTCACGTCATTATCTTGTAACGTTTCGTTTTTCTACTTGCGATACAATCTGAACACAAATGAATTTTTCCCAATTTCAAATTGTGCATTGAAAATACCCATTATTTGAATTTCTATTTGAGTTTCAATCTTCCTCTTTGAAGATGATCAATTAGTGATCGAAACACGTGTCGAGGTGTTGAAAATAACGATTTGGTGTTGGGAAAACAGTCCAGTAATATTCCTATTTCATTTCCACAGATCTGGGATTCGTCTGAGCAGTCGTCAGTGGCACTACCAAACAAATAAAATCGGAATGTTGACATTCAAAAGCCATATTGTTTTTCCCTTTATGTTAATGGCTTTTGCTTCCATTGAGGCGCATTAAGCCATAGCCGTATTGTCTGTTTTGCTTATTATATCCGTATCACGGTTAAGTTCACAAATAGACGTCAGATAAATATTCTTCTTCTTTTGTTCAGCGACAGAATTTATTTTCAAAGAGCAATGTTATTAAGTCAGGGGACTCATTTTACGGTGTAGGGTACGATCAAGTAAGATGTTAGGCACGGAGAGAGATATTTATTTTCATGTCATTCTTACAATGGGTGGACTTTGTTTAAATGTCAGTTTTATTAGGTGAGAGAAGAGTTTGAACTTTGAACTGATACCGATTCGATGTAGATAGAATGAAATTGTGAAACGGGATTTTCTGTGCTTGGCTTTCTAAGAGAGATCAACTAGTGGTGACAAAATAATTATTGATTTCTGTTAGTCATCCATATAAGTGGATTCCGACTTTTAAGGTATTCATGGGCTGGAAATTGAACGGGAGATAATATTGAATAGTGTTATGAATTTATAAATTAGATTTTTTGACAGCAGTTTTTTATTCTAGTTCTGCCAAGCAGAAACAAAGAAACAAAAAAGGAACTGGAACTGAAGTTAACATGAAATTAAACCTAAAGTTGAGTTGAAATGAAGCACAAATTTGATAAAGGCTGAGAACCAAGTTAGGATAACGTTTTAGAAGACTGGACTATACCGTAGTTAAACGCTTTTAAAAGAAATATAAAACCAAAATCGGTTGTTATGACTACCACCAATTGTGAAATTTGGGGAGAACGTTGAGGAAGTGTTCGGGGGTAGCTGCTAGAGACCTTGGATAAGAATTTGTATTTGTTAAACATTCCTATAGAGGCCATCATGAAACAAGAACTCATTCTTTAACCACCGACATTCTGATTTCATCATTCAAGATTCTGTCTCATTATATAAAAAATATCATTCATTAAATTTCTACGTTGAACCGTTTCCCTTGTTTTATTAGTAGTCTGGAAATGTCTCAAATCCCTGTGTGGCAACGTTGGTCAACAGTAACGATTATTGAAAGGGATACCTATTTCTATAAACTTCTGTAGACGGCGCCCAATTAAGGACTTGGTTTTGGTAACCCTTTTCAGCACCCAGTATTGAACCTCTATAAAGATACGACCCCACGCTCTTGCCTTCGCAGAATCCACAGCTAGTCGTGGCACCGTTATCTTACTCTAAATTCAGAAAAGAGTAAGGTAATATCCCAGTCCATGGTCGTTTACTTTCACTTTCTGGGTCAGTTGAATGGGAAATGTTTCTCAATTTGGGTTATTACAGCAAATGCAATTTTGAACAAAATAAAGTTGAGTTTAATTCATGAGTTTTTCAAATTCACTTCGAAAAGTATTCAAATTTAT